TGAACCGCGGGCCGTAGTTTGCCCACCCCTGCTCTAAAACATTATTTAGCAGATTAGAAAACCCTACGTTAGCAGATATTCACAGACACGATATTGGTATAAACATTCTAATATTCATCAAGTTACAGTGTAAACACTCATATCACTTAAATTATAGAGGATAAAAACATCCTCATGTCATACATTTATACTTATTCAGCATTGAAAGGTTGCCTACCTGACTTGCTTAGTTTCCATCAATTTCACACATTTTGAAATTGTCTGGCATTATTGCCTGGCAATAGTTCAACTAGTAAAATGTGTTCAAATTTGTTAAACAATAGCATTTTAATAGGGATGGGCAACGATTAATCGCGATTAATCACATCCAAAATCGCGATTAATCGTTGTAAATGTTGTGGGAAGGAGGCGGCGGGAGCCGGCGAATATTCAAAGACTTAAAATTAACAAATACTAAACGAAAGTAAATGCAGCAGTCCCTTACGGACGGCTGCTGCCACATAAAACAGAAACAAAACATCAAATAAAATCCTAGCCTGGCCTCTCGTCCTTCACCGTCGTTGCACCTCCTTGAGAGATATGAGACCCCGGTGCAGGTGTCGCTCATTATCAATCAAGCCACCAGCCTCGCGCCATTCTCCCACGCCCCTCAGTCTCGTCCTGCTCGCCACATGCGGTTCTCATCTGTCCCTCGAGGTCCCCTTTCCTGCAAAGTTTAGTGCTTGCATGTCCTGCCTTTAGCTTTCAATAATGCACTTGACCTTGATTAGCATAAACAGTTGGGTTTAATTGGAGCTAAACTCTGCAGGAAAAGGGGTTTCAAGGGCCAGAGTTGAGAACTTCAGAAACATCTGGCAGATGTATTGAGGACACATGGGCTACAGAGCAAAAAGGTTTGGACACCTTTGGTATAGGATCTAGCATACTATACGTGTTGTTGGTTTTGATGCATTAAATATTGTTGATGTCTGCTTTATTGTGCTATTAAAATGGGGTTAACTTTTATTTGTTTGTTTTTCCACCATAGACTTAATGCCAATGAAAGAAGAGAAAGAAGTTCTCAATGAAATTGAAGAGAAAGATGAATATGATAATCTTCATGATCAAAATGATAATCTTGATGATTTTATAACTGGAGAAAAATCTTTTGGTTGTTCAAAGAATGAAAACACTTCCACACGAAAAAAAGCCCAAAAGACAGGAACTAGAAGATATTCCCCTTACTTCCGTTTTGGAAAGAATTTCAATCAACAAGGAAACTTTAAAGTCCATGTGAGAGTTCACACTGGAGAGAAGCCTTTTACTTGTGAACAGTGTGGAAAGAGTTTCACTCAAAAAGGAAACTTTAACCGGCACAACAGAATTCACACTGGAGAAAAACCTTACAAGTGCCAACAGTGTGGAGACCGTTTTGGTCAACATGGAAACCTAAAAGTTCACATGAGAACTCACACTGGAGAGAACCCTTACACATGTCATCAGTGTGGAAAGAGATTTGCTCAACTTGGAAACCTTAAAGTCCACATGAGAATTCACACTGGGGAGACCCCTTTTACCTGCCAACAGTGTGGAAAAAGTTTCACTCGTAAAATAAGTCTTGACAGGCACATAAGAATTCACACGGGAGAAAAGCCTCACAAATGTCCTCAGTGTGGAGCAAGTTTCACTCTAAAAGGAAACTTTATCAGGCACCTGAGAATTCACACTGGAGAGAAGCCTTACACATGCCCTCAGTGTGGAGACAGTTTTACTCAACATGGAAACCTTAACATTCACATGAGAACTCACACTGGGGAGAGCCCTTATATATGTCCTCAATGTGGAAAGAGATTTGCCCAACATGGAAACCTTACTGTCCACATGAAAACTCACACTGGGGAGACCCCTTTTACGTGCCCAGAGTGTGGAAAATGTTTCACTCGTAAAATAAGTCTTGTCAGGCACATAAGAATTCACACTGGAGAAAAGCCTTACACATGCCCTCAGTGTGGAAAAAGTTTCCATCAACATGGAAATCTTACAGTCCACATGAGAGTTCACAGTAGAAAGTGTCCCTTCACCTGCCAACAGTGTGGACAAAGTTTCAATCATAAAGGAAGCCTTAACAGGCACATGAGAATTCACACTGGAGAGAAGCCTTACACATGCCAGCAGTGTGGAGAAAGTTTTTCTCAACGAGTACCCCTTAAAGTCCACATGAGAATTCACACTGCAGAGAACCCTAACAAATGCCGACAATGTGGAGAGAGTTTTGCTCTATGAGGAAACCTTAAAGTCCATATGAGAGTGCACAATGGAGAGAGTACCTTCACCTGCCAACAGTGTGGAAGAAGTTTCAAGAGAAAAGGACACCTTAATTACCACATGAGAATTCACACTGGAGAGAAGCCTTATACATGCAAACAGTGCGGAAAAAGTTTCACTCATAAAGGAAGCCTTAACTGGCACATGAAAATTCATACGGGAAAAAAGCCTTTCACCTGCCAACAAATTGTGGAAGAAGTTACGTTTAAAAAGGAACCTTTAACAGGCACATTAGAAATCACACCAGATAATTTAAGCCTTACACCTGCCAACAGTGTTGAGAGAGTTTTACTGAACACGGAAACCTTAGAGACCACATGAGAATTTACAACAAATAGACTCATTACACATGCCCTCAGTGTGGAATACATTATCAAATAAAATAAAGAAATTCCTTAACCGGCACATGGGAAATTGTTTTAACCGAAAAAGGAAACCCTAAGTAGTGTACCACAGTATGATTCACTCAAGAGAGATCTATTATAAATGTCATCCGTTTGGAACGAGTTTTCATTTTGCAACATCGATTCTAACTGAAAACATTTACAGGGGTTGGACAATGAAACTGAAACACTGGCCAATGTTGGAGGTTTCACATCTATATGCCTGGCGGCCAATCTTCAGAGTGAAGCACGGGTGGATCAGTGATGGTTTGAGCTCCAATATCATGACAATCCTGATTGTATTTGATGGACATGACACTGCCGAGGACTACCAAACCCTTCTGGAGGATCATGGGCACCTGATGCTCAAACCGTGTATCAGCATGATCATGCACCAACACACACAGCAAGACTTGTGACAGAAGGGTTTGATGAAGATGAAAGTGACGTTGAACATCTCCCATGGTCTGACAGTCACCAGATCTGAATATTATTGAGGTGTTTTGGAGGAGCGAGTCCATCAGCATCATATAGTGACCTGGACACTGTTCTGGAAGAGGAACGGCTCATAATCCCTCTGGTCACTGTGAAGGACTTCTATCTGTCAATTGGTGCTGTATTTGGATGCAAAATGAGGCCCTCACCATTCTAACAAATTATTGTGTTGTAAAACCAGGTGTTTCAGTTTCATTGTCCAACCCTTGTATGTCTTGTATAGATGTGAATTGTCTCCACAGAGTTTCCACAGTTGATTCTGTCCGTTTCTTTATCTCTGCGAACCTGCTTTGATGCAATCCATATTGTAGAAAGCTCTAAAGGTGACTTGACATAAAAGTTCACACAGGAGAGAATTAATTTACTAGTTGTCAAGATATATTCAGTTATTTATCATTCTTCTTTTATGGGTGAAAAGAAGTTGGAAATAGATGATTAGGCCACTCATATGACTGGGAGTTGCATTTAGATGAATATGTAAATATGCACAGCAAGTAGTCCTTTAACTCGCAATGTACCACCGAAGGGCATTTGTGTATTTTTTATCAATTATTCTAATCTTCTGAAATGATATACCATATGAAATATGAAAACTTAAAGATTCAATCTCATAAATTGGTTATTCCTTATTAGGCAAGTAATACCTTGAGGAAAGGTCTTTGGAAATTGTACAACCATCAATAGAGAGTTTTGGGAACAATCTGCAACAAAGCATCTGTCTGTTTCATGTTGTTCTTTGGTCTTAGGAGGACCAAATCTGGAGTCCACCAAAGACAAGGGCATCATGTAACAAGCCCAGATTGCTAATGTATATATCTATAAATGCGGCCTTGGTGACATTGTGAGAAATGCTGGCTTTCATCTCCTCTGGTTTTGGGCTTTGTGAAGGATAGTCATCATTTCCTCCACAACATTCTTGACGGTCCTGCAAACAGTTGTAAGTGGCATGTTGAAGGTGTCTGAAGTGACCCTGTTGGACGCTCCACAGGCAAGCCAGTAAACTGTGACCAGCACTTCAACTTCATGGCTCCATCAATGGGCTTTTGGACGGGGCAACATCTGGACCAGCATGTTGATGCTGTTTCTGGAGAGCCTGAAGGCTGGTTTAAAATTTTCTAGAGAATATAAATTGACCAGGCGCCTGATCATTGATCTGGGAAATGGACTTTGTTACTGTAAAAAACAAAAACAATAATAATAATAGGATGTTTTTAACATTGTTGTTGTAGAATGCATTTATTTTATATTTAATAATTTTTAAAGCATATATTAATTTAAATGTATTGTAAATGTATTTTCTGAAATTGTAGAAGTCTGCCAGAATTACATTTTCCTCCAACTATTAAGTGCATTATGTGAGAATGACATGTTTGAAATGGGCACGGGAGTCCAAATTCAAAATATCAGAAATCGTTGTTTCCCTGCCACCTCCTCCTTGTTACTATGTAACTATTGGTTGCCAGTTTGAGGAACGAGCGCAATTGACAAAAAATGTCACATTAATAAAGACTACTTTGCATCACAGTCTCAGTATTATTATTTTTATGTTGTTGAATCTTCTTACTCAACTCTCTGTTCTCTGTGTGTGCGTTTATGAAAGGGAGAGAAAAATAATTTCATCAAAACCAGTTGATTTTTTTTTGTGCATACAAAATAGTTTTATATATGTGGTTAAATTAGGTAAATAAAAATATTTTAATAAAGCCATTTACAAAATATAACTTCACATTCATTTGATATTGACCTATGGCATCCTAAAACTTTGTTTTCAGTGTGTAAATGTATTTCCATTTTTTTATTAAATATACAGGACTTTTATTTTGGTCTGGTGGTGTGATGTCATAAGGCTGCGCCTTATCCCAGTGTCTGATTTGGCTGAAGAAAGGTTAGTGTTTTGAGCATTTAATGGATTTAAAACGATACAAAGCATTCAGTCAGAATGTATAGTTGGATAAAAAAAATTCTAACGGATAGGTGGATCACAGTAAGAATAGGGACAGAATTGAGTACAAAGTATTTAGTGGAAAATGGAACTCCTCAAGGGAGTATAGTTAGTCCAGTTTTGTTTTCAATTATGATAAATGAAGTGTTTAGTAAAGTTGATAGATCTATAAGTGTTGCTTTATTTGCAGATGATGGTGTGATGTGGAAAAAGGGAAGGAATATAGATTATATAGTAAGGAAAATGCAAGAGGCAATTGGGAAGGTAGAGAATTGGGGAATGGAATGGGGCTTTAGGTTTTCAGTGGCAAAGACCAAAGTAATCTGTTTTTCTCGAAAGATAAATCAAGAACAGTTTCAACTTAAACTTTATAACAAAAATCTAGAGAGAGTGGAATGTTTTAAATATCTCGGGATATGGTTTGATAGAAAACTTAACTGGAAAATACATATTGAGAAAGTTGTTGAGAAATGTAAAAGAATATTGAATGTAGTAAGATGTCTGAGAGGTAGAGAGTGGGGAGCAAGTAGGAACTCTTTGAAAGTAGTTTATATTGGATTAATTAGGGCAGTTATACATTATGGATGTACAGTTTATCAGTCTGCTTCAAGCACTTTACTAAAAAAGTTAGATGTAATTCAAAGTCAGGCGTTAAGACTCTGTTGTGGTGCTTTTAAAACAACCCCTTTACAAGTAGAAATGAATGAGATGCCGTTGGAGATTAGAAGAAATCAGATAGCATTAACGTACTGGGCAAATTTAAAAGGGCATAAGGAAATTCACCCGACTCAGAAGGTGTTACAACCATGTCAAGAAAAGGAAAGACGACAGATTAAGAGTTTCATGGATAATAAGGGATGCAGTTGATCAGATAGGGATAGGAGATATGGTGGTAAGTCTAATTGTGCCATTATCTAATGTTCTACCTTGGCTATTAGGGGAGATGGAGGTAGATCTGCACCTTTTAGAGTGGAAAAAAGAGAATAGAAGTAATAGCTGTCAGGTTAGTAAATACATAGAGGAGAATTATTCTATGTTTATGAAGATATAGACCATTTCACAAGATGTAAACAACACTGGTCCAGAAACACTTCCTGTTTCAGTTTGTAACTGTTTTCTTTATTTCACATGTAAAGAAAACATCTTAAAGATGTTTGTTTAACTTTTGATTCAGTTTTAAATGTTCTGTTGGTTGTATTTTATCCCAGCTTTTATGTAGTGTTAAAAAACTGAAACAGGAAGTGCTTCTGGACCAGTGTTGTTTACATCTTGTGAAATGGTCAATATACAGATGCATCAAAAACAGAAGGTAATAGAGTAGGAGTTGCATTTATTATACCAGAAGTTAATGTTATGGTAAATAAGAGAATAAATGATAAAATGTCAGTGTATACAGGAGAAATGCTGGCCATTCTCTTAGCCCTTGAGTGGGTTGAAAATAGTAGGCCAAGGGAAGTGTTAATAGGGTCAGATTCAAGTAGTGCGTTAATCAGTATTAAGAACATGAAATCAGAAACAAGACAGGATATTTTGTTGGAAATAGCCCAAGCGGTTTATAGAATTAATAAAGTAGGAGTAATAATAAAATTCATTTGGATTCCAGCCCATATAGGAGTAGAAGTAGGGCTGGGCGATATATCGAGTTTGTACGATGTATCGTTATATTTTTTGAAACGATATGGAATGAGGCAATACCGTTTATATCGATACTTGATATGAGCACATCTGAAAAATAGCGGAGGTTGCAGTGTAAGTAGCTAGGCTACGTAGTACAATTTGTCCTAAACATGACACAAGCTTATATTAATTGCGTCAAAATCACTTTGATATAGTTAACAAGTTTAAGGCAGCTTGCCGCCCTGTCAAATGCTCTGACAGACACTGTTGCTGACTGACAGATATGCTTGCGCTGTTTAATGCGTTTGAGATGTGGTGCTTTCCTCAGTGCTCAACTTACATTTCACAGGTATATTCTCCATCTGTAAATGTTAGAAAGTAAAGCAAATATGTCCATTTCACAACAAATATGTCCATGTCAGAAGAGGACGAGCTTCTGCAAGTGAATCTCCGCTAAAATTCATGCTTCCTTGAACGAGCGCCGGCGCGCGCATGCGCGTGAATAGTACTACGTAGTACGCAATAATTCTGACTAAAATAAACATATTGCTAAAATATTTGTTGTTGGAGAAAATAAATGTGCCATATGTGGAATTTTAAACCTACAAGTATATATTTTTAATGAAAGTGAAAGTGATTATAATGGGGTAATCAAATGCAGGCTAATATAATTAGTTTGTGCTTTTGTTATTGTTTTTATTTTCATTTTTAGTTTAGCTTTTAGTCAATATAAAAACAAAAGCTTTTTGCACATAATATATTGCATAGCCTATATTATATTTGTTTCCATATCCTTCAATATCAACATTGTTTGTAGGATATCATTGGGCCGAATGTGATATATATAGGCCTATATATATATATATATATATATATATATATATATATATATATATATATATATATTTTTTTTAAATATAAAGATTTTCTTTATCTAAATAGAAAACGTAGAAAGTACCGAGATATATATCGTATATCGCCATTTGACCAAAAAATATCGAGATATGATTTTTTGGCCATATCGCCCAGCCCTAAGTAGAAGGAAATGAAATTGCAGACAAATATGCCAAAAATGCAACCAAAAAATCAGAAATAGATATGGTAATAAGTTATAGTAAGGCGGAAGTTAAAAGCATAATCAAAGAAGAAATGAAGAAGAAGTGGCAAGAGGAGTGGAATAAAGAAACAAAAGCAAGAATGTATTACAGTATCCAGGAGAGGGTAGGAGGTATGAGAGAAAATAATAGGAATAAAAGGGAAGAGGACATTATTTCAAGAATGAGATTTGGGCATACTGGATTGAATAGTACACTGAAGTTAATAGGGAAACATGAAACTGGGATGTGTGAGATCTGTAATATCAAAGAAACAGTAGAGCATGTTATTATTTATTGTCAAAAGTATAATGAGGAAAGGATGAGGCTGAGAAACTGGTTGAGAAAAGAAAAAATTAGATTGGATATGAAGGAATTATTACAAATGAATTCAGGTCATGTAGGATATAGAGCCATATTTGTCTTTTTGAATAAAACAGGTCTTAATAGAAGGATATAAATTTTGTTGTCTTAGGAAATTGTATTTATTGATAATCTATGAATATTAATGATGTTAATGAATATTTATTAAAGTTATTTATTGGTGTTATTATGGTTTTATGTATTTATATATTTATTTAAAGGGCAGTGAGGAAAAGCTATTTTGATCCACACGAATTTGCAAGAATCTTGCAAAATTATTTTAAACAGATTAAGAAAGCCACCACTACTGGTCACATCTATATGGTTAGATTGATTTGTTTAGATCCAGTGAAGTCTGCCCCACCATGTACATAATATAAATAAATTAAACTTCCCTAGTTAACTAGCAGAGCATTTAGTTCACTATTAAATAAGAAATCTGGCGCTAAATGTGTTTTTGAACGCAAGCTGCACGCTCGTTTCCACGGCGATTGGTGGATACAGTCTTTGTGCCTCGCGCAGTCTTCACTCGGATGCGCGCTTCAATCTATCGCCGTTGTGGACTATTCATTCCTGTGAAATCACGAAATAAAACACAAACGTGTCTCTGCTTGTTTTAGACTGTAACCACTGATGAACATAGTCAGTTTTGATGAGAGAAAAATATATATACGAGACGAGTGTGGATTAGAACCCGAAACCTCTGACACGCTTGGCAAAAGGTCTCCCACTAAACCATTGAATAACTCACACGTGAACTGCGGATTGATGGAGTTATTTACAGGTTGAGCAGAGAGGCTGCACAGTTTGACAAGCGGCCGCGGCATGGTAGACACATTGCAGATTGCTAATGAATTGTCTTTTTCACACACCTTGTAGAATTGCCAGACAGGTGAAACCTTTTATCAGAGCATAAAAAAATTGTCTCGCGAGTTTTGCGTCATCTGATCGGCTTTTCTGGATCGGCCTTATAGAAACCGCCGATCACACATCCCAAAGCAATTATCGCCCGATTGTGATTGGCGACCGATCAATCGGAGCACCCTTACATAATTTACCATAAACTTATATTCACAAATTAATATTATCCAAAGCGCGTTCACGGAACAAATGAGTCGGCAACACACATTTGTCCTAGTGCTCCACCTACTGTAAATTAAGTTTTAATTGTTTTTTTGTGTGCAAACAAAGCACTTATGTCACTTCATAAAATTGAGGTTAAACCATTGGAGTCACATGGATTACTTACTTTCCTATCGTTCTGGTCCTTGAATGTGGACCTAATTTGCATTGCTCCCAATGGAGGGACTGAAAGCTCTCGGATTTCATCAAAAATATCTTCATTTGTATTCAAAAGATAAACAAAGGTCTTACGAATTAGTTACTTACGGGTAAGTAATTAATGACAGAATTTTCATTTTTGTGTGAACTAACCCATTAACTCTTATTCTGACTCACTCCCTAACTAGTGCGGTGACTACTAAACTAGGAGCTTGTGATTGAGACACACCCAGAGATTTATTGTGGATTAATTTTTTTTTCTGTTCATTCATACAGAAAAACACCTGGTGAAGTGACTGAGATCCGTGTAAAACACTATTATAAAAATGCTGTTTATTAAAGAGGAGAGTGAAGACATGAAGATTGAAGAAGTATTCAGTGTGAAACAAGAAGAAACTGAGGAACAAACAGGTTTGTTTCATTCTCAAAGCTGAACTCAGTCATTTGATCCTAATTAAAGGGGGGGTTGACTGCTTTTTTTTCTTTGCATGATTGTGTTTATGGGGTGCAATATAACATGTATTCGTGGTTTTTCTTAATTAAAAAGTCTTATTTTCAGCCGCGCTCTCCTCTGTCCTCGAACGAACGGTTGACTTCCTGATTCTATGAAACCACTCCCTCAGAAACAGGCAGTGGGCTCAGATTGGTTAGTTTGGCCCGGTGTGTTGTAATTGGCTAAACTGTCGCTCATGTTGTCCGGAAGGTTAACGCCCATTACCTTTACGAGCGAAACATGCACGTCATGAGCTACGGTCCAGATGTAAATATGTGTCGAACTGCAGTATCAATTTGAGGCATAATCAGACCGAGAAAGTGGGGATGAAGAGAGTACACAGAACCTCACCACACACGGCTCTTACTAAACGTTTCTGAATGATAGTTTGCTACATTTTTTTAACTTTATACACGTTTGTTTTACACAATAGCATCTGACTGGCAACAATAGAGACTGACTGGCTACTATGTTATACTCAAACAGTGCTGGCAAGTTTACTTTCTTGATCAAATCGGAAATAACGTCATAAAACATATATCCATGAAAAATACATCTACAACATTAGTACTTATACAAAATTCAGGTCCATAATGTTTGTACGCGTTTGTCGTAGACACAAAATAGCATAACTAGTAGCCAAGTGGCTATAAACCCAGCGCTGGCATTTAAAAAAAAATAAACCACAAGGCTACGTCTTGAATTATACATGCAAATATATTTAAAATGATGAAGTCTTAGCCTACTTACAGGTTGTGGCCCAACAACTGCTGCCTCTGGTTTTAAAGTTGGATCTGCTTCATGTTTTAGTAACAGTTTCTTGTTGAATCCAGTGTTGAACTCATGGAGATTCTGGAAGCTGTCTTCCGTAAATGCGCAGCACAGAGAGCTAAATTACGATCGTCATTTTCAGCAACATAATCAAACATAAATTGTATCCATTGTTGACGAAGTACATGCACGTCCGTGGGAAGCCTGAACACAGAAGACCTGACAGCTGGATGAATACAACTCACTCGACGTGCTGCAGAAATATGCGCATGCCCTTTTCTGCATATTCCGGAGGGAGGGTTGATGCAAATGTGTGGGTTAGTGACGTACCATAACCCAGCTGTAGTCCCAATCCAGTCGTTTTTGTAGGCAATATACTTCCTGATTTTTAAAAGACGATATCTCTGCTTACATTGAACTTTCAGCGCTGCAACTTTGCAGATACTGTACATGCACCAACAGCAACATTACACACTATTTAAAATGAAAAAAGTGAAATCGCAGTCAACCCCCCCTTTAAAAATACTGATCTGTGTATGACATCAAAGTGCCGTGAGAGGGATTAGAGTGTGCTTATGCTTTTTAATCGCTCTTGCTGTACTTTGATGTCATTCACCGATCAGTCTGCACTACACTTCAAGTAGAACACACCTAAATACTAATGCTGCCTTCAAGGTAACCTGAGAAGATCCTACTTCCAATTCGTTTTTACGACATGTATTAATCAATCACACAAAGTTATTAATCAATCACACCAAGTAATAACTTAACACAAAGTTGTAGTGGTCTGATAAAAAGTACTTAAACCTGGTGTCCGTCCACAAATGCCAAGATGCCTTTAGTTCTATTTTGAGGGGACATGGACAGATGGAAACCAAATATGCCCTGGAATGGAAATCAATTTAAGGCGGGCAAATATATTTAAGTAAGTGCTAATAGAACACTGATGAAAATAATTCTTCAGAATAAATTACTTTTACAAAAACAACATAAAATTAAAGCTGCAAGCAGCATTTATCGGTGTTCAAGCAGTTCAGGCCTTTAAGCACAAAAGCATTGAAAGGCATTCAATTTTATTTAACATGCATTTATGCACGGACATAATAGATGTAAAACACCATTTACAATCAATACATTACGCGATTATAGCGCCACCTATGATGATTTTTTTTTGCTCCAAATGGAAATCCGAGATATACATCTTGTCCGTCTTGAGCCAGGGATTACAGTGGTGTAAAAACATTGAAGCTAAGTCAAACAGTCTAGGAGTTATGAGCAATTTAGTACTTTTGGTTGCTGTAGCGCCACCTATGGGCCAATCGGGGTCATACTCTGATAGCTTCTCCACAATTCGAGGCCCTACCATCTGACAAAGTTTCACAGCTCCAGCCCTTACGGTTTGGGCTGCACGATGCGTTTTAGGGGATTTTTTTTTCTTTCTAGCAAATACAATAGGTTTTCAGCACTTCGTGCCTGAACACCTAATAATGAGAGACCTTTTTGGCGATTATAGCGCCACCTATGATCCGATCCTCACGAAACTTTGCATGCTTCCTAACCATGTAAGGACACATATGCTCACCGATTTTTGTGAAGTTGTGACTTTTTGGGGGGGATTTAGGGGCTTTTGACTGAATTTTGCCACAGACCACTATCTAAATGAGCCTGTTACAGCCAACCAAATGCAAAATTTAAACTTTTTTTTTGATAATTATTGATCTAGAGAGTCCAGAGAATAGGCCTAGACTGGTTTGGTCCCGATTGGGCAAAAAACCAGGGACTAGTTCGCAAAAGTGGGTTTTGGACAAAAAACGAAATAACAAATTTTTTTTTGCTCCAAATGGAAATCCGAGATATACATCTTGTCCGTCTTGAGCCAGGGATTACAGTGGTTTAAAAACATTGAAGTCAAACGGTCTAGGAGTTAAAAGCAATTTAGTACTTTTGGTTGCTGTAGCGCCACCTATGGGCCAATCGGGGTCATACTCTGACAGCTTCTCCACAATTCGAGGCCCTACCATCTGACAAAGTTTCACAGCTCCAGCCCTTACGGTTTGGGCTGCACGATGCGTTTTAGGGGATTTTTTTTTTCTTTCTAGCAAATACAATAGGTTTTCAGCACTTCGTGCTTGAACACCTAATTATTTACTGACAAGTATCTTTTTTACTTGGACAAGTATATGACCCTGGTTGTAGCAATGATCAGTTGCCAAAAACTTTAATAGGCGCAGTTTTTGTCCTACGATGGGGTTTAAATCTTAACAGAATTTGTACATTTGTCAAATTCCCCTGGTAAAGAGGTTCTCGGATTACACGTAACATCCCTTTCAGTAGCACAGTGGGTATAGGACAGGGATATTTGAAGGGGCCACCATCTACTGTAGCTCCAAATTCAATTAAACACACATCAACCAGCTAACCAATGTCTTTAGGCAACTTCAGACTGCTGGCAGGTGTATAAGGGCAAGTTGGAGCTAAACTCTGTAGGGCAATGGTTCCAGGAGAAGGTGTAGATACCCCTAGCATATAGATTGTTGCATTATATATCAACATTTTTTTGTTGTCTGTTGCTTTGTACGATTCAACTGGAGTTAACTTTTGTTGTTGTTGTTTTCATCTTAGACCTAATGGCACTGAAAGAGGAGAGGGAAGAACTCAATGCAGAAAAAGATCAATATGAGAATCTTGATGATTTTATTCCTGGAGAAAAATCTTTGAAATGCTCACAGACTGAAAAGACAGGAACTAGAAGTTATTTTACTTGCATTCAGTGTGGAAAGAGTTTTAATCGACAAGGAAACCTCAAAGTCCACATGAGAATTCACAATGGAGCGAAGAGTGGAAAGAGTTTCAATCAAGACGAAAGCCTTAAAGTTCGATCGAGAGTTAACACTGGAAAGAGTCCCTTCCCATGCCAACACTTTGAACACAGTTTCACTGATAAAGGTAGTCTTACGAGGCACAAGAGAATTCACACTGGAAAGAAGCTTTTCCCATGCCCTCAGTGTGGAAAGAGATTCAGTCAACATGGAAAATTTGAAGTCCACATGAGAATTCACACTGGAGAGAAACCTTTCACCTGCCAACAGTGTGGAAAAAGTTTCAACAGAAAAGGAAACCTTAATTATCACATGCGAGTTCACACCAGAGAGAGACCTTTCACTTGCAAACAGTGTGGAAAAGGTTTCAACAGAAAAGGACACCTTAATGACCACACGAGAGTTCACACTAGAGAGAGCCCTTTCACTTGCAAACAGTGTGGAAGAAGTTTCACTCTTGAAGGAAGCCTTAACAGGCACATGAGAATTCACACTGGAGAAAAGCCTTACACATGCCAACAGTGTGGGTGGAGATTTGCTCGACATGGAAACCTTAACAGGCACATGAGAACTCACACTGGGGAGAGCCCTTATATATGTCCTCAATGTGGAAAGAGATTTTCTCAACATGGAAGCCTTACTGTCCACATGAAAACTCACACTGGGGAGACCCCTTTTACGTGCCCACAGTGTGGAAAAAGTTTCACTTGTAAAATAAGTCTTGTCAGGCACATAAGAATTCACACTGGAGAAAAGCCTTACACGTGCCCTCAGTGTGGAAAAAGTTTCACTTGTAAAATAAGTCTTGTCAGGCACATAAGAATTCACACTGGAGAGAAGCCTTACACCTGTCAACAGTGTGGAAAGAGTTTCACTCAAAAAGAACACCTTGAAGGCCACACAAGGATTCACCAGAGAAAGAACTATTAAATGTCATATCAAAGATTAAATGAAAATTTGCTTCTCCCTTGTAATAGAAGGGTTTTCTGAATTATACATATGAAGAACCAATCAAATTGTAGGAAAATTATGTAATGAATCATGTCACCTGCCATGCTCCTATTCTATAAAATCTCTTGTATTCTTGGTGGGATTCTCTCTGAAATTGGTCTGAGATCCTCTGGCCGTGATGATTAAAGCATATTCAAAGGCATTGTCTGAAGTCTGTTCAGTTAATGATGCACAGTAGGGACGCTAGTGTCAGGGATCACAGACGAATCAGACAAGTTGGTAAGTTTGGTGCTTTTATTGTCCAGTAAAAGGATCACAGTCAGAGATAACAGGTGAGAAACACAGAAACATAAAGGAAGCTTAGCTGTGGTTATTCATGTTATGAGAAATCATTACTTTTACAAAGTTGGGTTTCCAGAAGCATTCCTAATTGTAAATAATAATAATAGGCCAATTTATCGACAGAATTTTACAGCAAAACCTTTCAAATGAAGATATGAAGTGTTAAGAATTCTAAATTGCAAATATTTTAAATATGGAAAACCGATAGAACACCGTTATATGAATGTTTTAATTATCTCTAGTTAAAACATTAAAGCTATGGTATACGATATAAAAAATCGGTCGAGACGGTAGGGAAGTTTTAAAAAACTCATCCCGCCCCTCCACACACACCCCCCTCCCCTCTGTGCTACCTGATCCCTGACGTATGTCACGTTTGAGTTCACGTCAACGCAAGATTAGCAACACATGAAATGTTCTAAACTCCCCACCACCATTATAATACTACTAGTATTGCTAAGGTTTTCAGTAATTGTTATTGCAGCGCATCTTGTTCAAATTCCGATCGGCTCGAACAGAAACCTCGAACAAGAAATATAATTACTTTGAACCGCGATCGGCGATGCTAAACGGCTAACATTCCAATGCCGACCGGCAGCATGAGCAAGTTGTCAGACTGATAAAAAGCCACGTAACACGTCACACCATAAAAGAATAAATAAATGTTTACCTGCTCAACAAAAAGTCATCCGTGTCGGCGTCGTTTTCAGCCCCAGATCTCCCTGAAGCTTTCTCCAATGGTCAATGAAGGACGCTGTATTTATCCTACTTAGAGTCCGGCGTTCTTCACATTTCTTTTTAATCTCTGATCTTTCCTACACAGACTTTCTCTTGCGTCCAAACTTTACAGTAGAGGCAAGCAGGGGCCGCTTGCTGTTGTCGTTTATATTTTTATCCATTGCTTTATCCATTGCTGATCTGACGCTACTAGCTAGCTACCATAGACAGTCTGTCAGCTGTTTGCTCGCGCACGGAGGGGGGGCGGGGGCGGGGGCGGTTGGGTTGGAGACGCGAGCGCCACGCGGAGTTTCAAGTGGAGCTGGTGATTGGATGAGAGCAGTTGACCAATATAAGCTGTGCAGCCGCACAGCTTACATTGGTCAACTTTTCTGCGGCTGTCCAGCCAATAGAGTGAATGGATTTTTTTCGATCTTTTTTCTATTCATATTGTTAGGATTGTACTATATAACCATAACCAGCATCTAAACGAGGATATTAATAATGAACAATCTTTGAAATCGTATACCCTAGCTTTAAAACACAGCATGCCAGAGGGAAATTGTTCAAAAGCATTGCATCCACAACAAGTATATACAGTATATATATATATATTTGTAACTTCTCAGTAATGATTTTATGTAGTTTAAGTGTTTAACTCCTTTAATGATACATGATATAATATATGTTTATATATCTGATATAATAAATGTTCTGATACGATCTGATATAATAAATGGTTATATCAGAAGTAAAACAGTTTAAATCATTCTTTCATCTATTTAAACTGTTATTGAGAACATGCACTGTATTTATTAGGACTCATGAAGATTTAAGGTTTTACTTTATCTGCCATTAGATTATAGGCTATATGTGCCTAAGTTTTACTAAACGGCCCATCGGACATTTAAGGGGGATGGATATTGGCTTCCAGTGATAGGCTTGGTGAGTGAAATTATATTTGTAGGCTATTATCTTTCCGTAGCCTATAGGCTATAATTTTCTTTAGATGTTTGGTCTAAAAGTGACCAAAAAGACATTTAACTCCAGCTCACCATCAGTGTGATTAATTCTGCTTGTCTCCAGAATGTGTGTACATGGCTCAAAGTTTGCTTAAAGGTGCGCACATTCTCCTGTCAAGTTTGTTTTTTATAGATCACAACCTTTGCGTGGAAACTGGTGTACATACTTTTCCAGCCCCGTTTTGTGCGTACTCACGCTTCATAAATGAGACCCCAGGTCCTCTTTTCCCAGGCGTTCGCGACGCATTTTGAAGTACTGTCTGTGTTGGACAACAACTTGCTAAGTAACTATTTTATTTACATTTCCCAAGTATTCCTTTTGAACTTTTTTTTTTTTTTAATTTAAGTATTACTATTTATATGAAGAAAAATTGCTTACTGAATATTTTGGATGCGTTTGTCAGGCCCCTGAAGTCAGGTGTAGCACATGCAGGATCCACAACAAAAATTTGTTGTGATGGAAGATGAAGGTACTAACACAACACATTAAACAGCAAAGGGGTCATTATTGAAAATGTTTTATGCCATCATATATATTACCTATAGATTTTTTAGTCTTGGGACTGCAATGTGCTTTTAGGATTTCAATTTCTAGCTTACCAGACTGATCTCATGAAGTAGCGTGTGTATGCCACGCCAATTCGTATTTCCATTTTTGGCGTGCTATCAAGACGCATAATCGCCTTTCAGCGTGTTTATGAACGCCGTTGACTTAACGTTTTAAAAATATATGACTTACCTCAACCCCGTCCCTAAACTTAACCGTCACTGGGGTTAATGGCATTTATGACTGGAGATTTGACTGCGTGTTCAGACACGCGGAATGACGCGGACGTTAATGGCGTAGACATACACGCATACACGCGGATAGCTCAAAATGCGTAGAGATAACACGCCACCTGACTCGAAAGTGGCGTGTATGTTTACGCAAAAGTCATGATGTCATGTTGAGCTTACTTACATTTTCTTTTATGTTCTTGTTTTTACATGGATATTTTTAAATGGAGTAAAAACAGGTCTGTAATTGTTACAGTGTAATCATTTTCAGACTTTCTTTTTGATCTGTAAGTTCATTAAAAAAACATGGCTTTGAGGTTTCCTTCATACAGGTTTCCTGTATAACTTTCTTCTGCTATACAAAAAAGAAAAATATTGAGTCACTGGGATTTTTTGTGAAGATTTTTTTAAATAAATAAATGATGACAGAATTGTACATTTTGGTGGACTATCCCTTTATTGCAAGTCTCTTTGAATCTTTTTTGGAGTCAGTGCTTAAAAAAAAACAATGTTATATTCAACACAGTACGACAAATGAACACCACCAAGCAGAGGCACATTTGAGCTGAAAAACTAGTCTATCTTTACAAGTAATTTTGTGTTTGAATCAGGAATTCATGCATGCAAATCAGTGTATTTAAAAGTAAATTGCATCACCTACCACAAACTTCCAGTGGATGTGACTTACATTAACAAATGTAATAACCCCATTCAATGCGTCAAAATTAACCTGTACAATGTAACAAATATGCATATATATCAATAATCAAATACAGTAATATTTAAGTATATCTTCACACTCACGACCTTTAAACCTTGTCAAGCCACTTGTTCACTTTTGCCATGCAAAAAGGTGGTGTAGTGATTTAACTGATAAATTTTTCCAGACTTGTCATGTTTGTTAGGACAGAGCGGATCTTTCCATCCAACACATTCTCACACCCCAACTCGTCACATGGCCGCTTGGTCAGGACCCCTTGGCTTATTGACGCACTGCATACCTTTGTAGTCATTTTTCAATGTGCAGGGTAGTCCGATAGACTTCTATAGATCTCTGAACCGGAGCCTGTAGCGTTGAAATTTGACATCTTGGGTAAGCTCACCGCAACGGTCTGCTGCGAATGGGTCGAGAGTCGAGACTGCAAAAAATAAAAATGAATAGGCTACAATAAGTGATCTATGCTAGGGCTAGTATAGTGGTGGTGATCCAACTGTTTCTACATGATTAAAAACCCTCACAATCTGATATCAAAGTGCCCTCTCCACAAAGGTTTAGTGCGTTCATAGGCAACCGCATTCATCGGTGAGTTTAACAACGCTCATTGTGGTGTACAAACCCATTCAGCGGTGAGTTTAAAGGGGACATATCATGCAAGATCCACTTTTTTAGTCTTAAATGCATTTTGTTGTATATTTGGAGTGTTTATAAGTACAGAAAAGATTAAATTATTCTCTTCAGGTGCTTCGTTTATATCTTTATATTCTGTTTTCAGGGACGTGCACAGGGGGGTTGCTCAGGTTGCCCGGGCAACTGCCCATATGCCCTCCTCGACTCAGGTTGCCCTTCCGAGGAAAAAAAAAATCATACAATGGATGTAGAATTTCACGTAGGCCTAGACAAAAAAATAATATAAAAATCGCAAAGCCTCATTCACTTCCATTCGGGCACTGAAAGGGAAAGTCAAACTGTTTACGTGGCTGCAGTGCCGCACGCGACCATAGACTGCACGCGACCGGGGTGTATGGTAAAGGCCAATTTATACTTCTGCGTAGGGTGCGCGCAGTAGGTACGGCGTAACATACGCACAGACGCGTCCCATTCCGCGTACCCTTCGCCGTCGCCTGACGCGCACCTGCTCAAAAATGTAGCTACACGTCGCGACGACGCGGATCGCAAGATCAGTGATTGGTCGCTTGGTATCATCGCATTTCCTCCTACGCATTTCCGCACGTACCTTCTCACGCATTTCCATCACTGTCTATGATTTCCACACGTACCATCTCCTCCGACGTCTTCTCTCATTTCTGCCTTTCAGTTTTAGTAATTTCACTAAAGTGAACTGTTTTTCCACCTCAATAAGCTCCAACTCCAACATGATTCACTCTCTTTCAATCGCTATTGCTTGTAGTACCCTAGCCGCGAGGAATCTAAACACAGTGGAACATTAAAACTCTCCGCCGCCAACTAGCGTTTCGGAGCAGTACTGCAGAGCAACAAGACCTGAACGCAGAAGTATAAATGCTCATAACGGCGTCGCCTACGTGCGTAGCCAACGCCGCACATTACGGCGTACCCTCGACGCAGAAGTATAAATTGGCCTTAAGGCACCGCAAATTACTCAGG